ATTCCTACAATCTTCCCACCCGGTACACCATAAATCAGTTCCCCAACTAATTCCCTTAAAATTCCAAATGAAAAACCGACGAAAAAGTGTCACGCACACGCAGAAAGAACGACACCAGAATCACCAAGCACTCATAAATCATCCACGTGCTTGAACTCACGAACTGAAACTCAGCATGGATGCATCTAACCTAAATCGAAACGCATTCATCAATACACATACACACCGGCGCGCTTCTTTCTCGCCTGATCGTAGAAAATAAACATTTGCTATCGATCGTTACTTTCGCGGTAACACCGTTAGAAAGCTGAACCAGGATTCACGTATAACCATTATACGCTCGACAACGGATATATTCGAATTTACGAGAAGGCTTGTTAGCACTGATCCACTTTGGTCGGACTAGGTCGAAACTGTTGGTGACAAATACATGGCCGTGAGCGGATTACCGGAGCCGTGTCGTTGCCATGCACGTTGCATCGCTCGTCTGGCGTTAGATATGATGGATCTGGCCGCGGACGAAGTGCAGATCGATGGTGAACCTGTGGTAAGTCCTTCCTGCTCTTTTTTTTACACTTTCATCAGATCGCTTCGGGTTAAGAGTGCTGTATATTCGGATCTATGGAATGCAATTTTTTCGGGATTTTCTTTTTTTTGGGGGGGGAGAAACTGTAAGAGTTTTTTGGGTGGATTTTGGTGGACGTGTTTGGTAACGTTTGAAATGTGGGAAGTATTTTTTTGGAGGGAAAATAATGAAAATTGGATGAGCTGTGATTGTTTTGAGAAAGGTAAGAAGTTTGGGTTACTGATGTCTTCGAGGACATCTTGAAAGCACGTATTGAGATGGTATTTTTAATGTTATTTTTGATTATTTGGCGATGTATGCGTGTTGAGCATTATTTGAAAAAATTAATGTAGCTTTAACACGTTGACTGCCATGATTGTTTCCTCGACGGAGCTGCGGTGGTCATCGGTGACTGTGGAGTGCCTCACATGTTTAGAATAATTAGAATAAAATGAATATAGTCAACTAAAAAATTTTGAACACCAGAGCTAACTAGACAATATTTGGAATTAGAAAAGATAATAATAATAGCAAAGCGTAATATAATATTGTGCTTGGAATAATGAAAATACAGTAAATTCTTCACAAGTGTCAGTCCGCAAGGAAGCTAAACCTGACACTTGTAGAGTCAGGGACTACGTTTTCGAGCCTCCCGCCCGCCTTTGTAGTTTGCCGAACGTAGACGAGGACAGCGAATAAAAGATACAAGTGTCAGTCCGCAAGGAACCTAAACCTGACACTTGTAGAATCAGGGACTACGTTTTCGCGCCTCGCGCCCGCCTTTGTAGTTTGCCGAACGTAGACAAGGACAGCGAATAAAAGATAAGGATGAAACGTGAGTTGAGGCAACCAAGCGATTTAAATACCAACTTTTTTCATTTTACGTTTTTTTATCCCGAAATTTTTCTTAACATATTGATGAGATTTTTCTGATGAAAATGACATCAACACGACATAATTTGAACAACATTTACTTATTAACACGTTCACTGTCACGCCAGATATTTCACTGTATTGAGATAAAACAGACGCCCTGTATTACATTACATAGTGTCGTCCTACCGTTTGACTACCAGTTGGAGAATCGGCCTGCCGCTTGACTGACACTTGTAGAATCGGCCCTACATTTGACTGACACTTGTAGAATCAGCCCTACATTTGACTGACACTTGTAGAATCGGCTCTACATTTTTTTTTTTTTTGACGTGGAGGTAGGCCGACATTAAATTAATTACTTAATAAGTATTAATAAGTAAATGTTGTTCAAATTATATCGTGTTTGATCTCATTTTCATCAGAAAAATCTCACCAACATGTTAAAAAAAATTTCAGACGAAAAAAAGTGAAATTAAAGAAATTATATTTTTCTATTATGATTTGTGGAGCCATGAAATCTCGTAAAGGAAACCGACTGGTGTAGCGTTACACGCTTGACTGACTGCGAGCGAGATAACATTGGCGCAGCAATGACGCAGACCTAGGCGTAGGACCATCTATACTGACACTTGTAGAATCCAAACTGTCTGACACTTGTGGAGAATTGACTGTACTCTTGTGGCCCCCTGAGAGCAATATGCAAATCTGGCGTGGCAGTCAACGTGTTAATATAATTGACGTTTAACCCTTTGAGAACGAAGGACTACATAATTAAGTCACTACTTCAATTTTGTTTTTTTTTTCAAACTAAATTATTAGGTATAGAAATGAATTCTTTCCGAGAGGATTCACATGATTGATTCAAAGCCACCGAGCTTCTATCGCGATAATATTCGCAAGCTGACAGAAAAATGGTAAAAAATCGTCGGCAATAATAATAATTATTTGGATCATTAATCTGTTGTCATTTTTTTAAAATAAAACTTTGATCGTACCGAAAATTCGTGGAGAATTCATTTCTATACCTAATTAATCAAAAATACATAAAATGAATTCACAATCACTCCAACTGTGCTTATTGCTTAAAAATATTGGTTTATTATTAATATTTTAATATCAGTTTAGTATTAGTTTATTAATCGCTGTCGTAGTGTTTTGTGAACGCTAATCCGAGTCTATCGTCCTCAAAGGATTAATAATTTCGCGGAAAGGAACTTCTTCGATCGCGAGAGGTCATCGATCCTCCATGAAATTTCATTGATCCTCGATATTCGTCATCCTTCTGTGAGACATCGTGAATTCTCCCTTTTGAATTCGAACACGTAACGGAGGAATCGTCTTTCTAAGTTAACTCGTGTGAAAAAAAAAGTTAGATCGAGTCTTGGAATTACCCTGAACGTGTCAAGTATGACGAAGTCGCGGCTAGCTTTAATGTGAAACCGTGGGAAGTTGAAAAAGGCGAGGATGGACGTCTTCTGCTTAAAATTCTTCAGTGGACACGCTGTAAACTTGAAACCTATTGAATCGATCAACTTTCTACTCTATCTTCTTCACTCGTACGCTTTCCATTCTTTGAAATAGCCGCTACCATTATCGTAACACACTCAGGAAGACACTTTTATCAAATTTCAACGTTTGTTTGCAAAAAATCGAACGCAATTTTAATCTCCATTACTTTGTATAAACTTGTTCCATTTGTAAGGTAGTTGACGAATTTCTTCGGTGAAAAAACATGGTAGTTTTTAAATTTGTGCACCTAATGCATCCCAAATGTTTATCTAACGGTCTGACCTACTTAAAGAATCTCCAATAATCGATGATCTACCAGAAAACGAATTACAATAACTCCTCCATTTTGTAACATTCTTACTTTCCAAAAATTACGGAAGAAAGTTAAAAGTTACATTCACATCCTCGAAAAAAATTGCAAATTTTCCTTGACTACATACCTCCCAAAAAAAAAAATCCCAAATTTGACCCACTTTTAGACTCAACCTCAGCGTAACGCAGCCCTTTAAATTTCCACGCGCAAAACACGTTTCTAACTCACAAATTAGACACTTCGTTGACGTGTGCGTATCTATCCCAGTTGTCACGACGATTAAATAACAGAAAATACCGATGAAATGAGTTGAAACGTTTCACTGGACTCGACTTTTTTCCACGAGTCGTCTCATTCGTGGAAGTCGATGCTGAGGACAGGTTGCCTCGGCGATCTCTTGCATTCGATTATCCGTAAAAAGGCTGTTGTTCTCCTTCCTGAACGCGCTCTTCCTGTTCCTGCCGCGAAAGCTTCCGCCGTGGAACGTTAACGCGTCCGACGACGCGTCGACGTGACGCGAATCCACGTTTCTCCGTAAATAGGAGATTGCCTCGATAAAGGTGCGAACTGTTCCACAGAAAATCACCATCGGGATCCACAGCGGCGAGGTTGTGACAGGAGTAATTGGACACCGTATGCCGCGTTACTGCCTGTTCGGGAACACGGTGAATCTCACCAGTCGAACGGAGACCACTGGAGAGCCTGGAAAAATAAACGTGTCCGAGGACGCGTACAGGTACGAAGTTACGTTAAGTTTCAAATTTATACTAATTCGCGGTTGTTTCCTTTCTTTCGGCAATGGTAAAAGTTGAGTTCATTCGTGAAAGAGAGGGCAAATTATGGCGAAACGTGTGTGTGTGCGTGCAAAATGTTTCCTTTCGAAAGTACGCAAGTTGTTTGTTTCGCAACGCAGGAAACTTTTACTAACGAGACCCAGTTCGAGCTGATTTTTGAAAGTTCGATGGAATTTGAAAACTAGTTTCTGGGAGGATTTTTTGAGACTTGGAGGAATATCTGTGACCTAGTATTACTTTTTACTTCCTTGTTCCTTTGGTATTCGTCAAATTGCGTGAATTCGTCGGATAGAGACAAAGTGGACAAATCGGTGAGATGTGTTTTATTTGTAAAGAAACATAATGCTGTCGTAATGACTGAATAAATATACATACAGGTGAATAGATTGGATACACCGTGTGTGAAAAATATCGAGACGATTATTAGTTTGATGGGAAGAAACGAGTGGACGAAGGTGTTCGATATTTCAAGGTCGGTTCTAACGAGTCGCTCCTATATACAGGGTGTCCCACTTGTTTCCAATCAAAATTTTTCAAACTTTGTCGGTACATTTTATGGATATAAGTAAGAAGAAAATGTTATATGAACATAGGTCGTTTGAAGCTTCGTTAAAAAGTTATTACGAAAATACAAAATACAAGAAAAATATGGCGCTGGTAAATGTTACATCCAACACCGGCAAGGACCTCAAATCGTAAACACAGCTTGCATAAACGACCAAGGTCTAAATTCTCCTATTTTGTATCATAACCTCACGTTCCTTCATATTTCTTATTTTCGTTAAAACTCTTTAACAAAGCTTCAAACGACCTATGTTCACATAACATTTTTCTCTCACATACACCCATAGAACACACTGACAAAGTTTGACAAACTTCGATCCCAAACAACCGAGACACCCTGTATATCGCGTACGAGAACGAACTTGACCTTAAAACATTCACAGCATCTCAATCAATCACCTTTTTTCCCCACGATTCTCTAATCGAGCCTCGTTGATTTTCCTCTATCTTCGCATACCTGCATGATTAAATTCACAAAACGAAGTGGGACGTTGTATCGAACGATACAAGAAATTCAATCAGGTTTGAAATTATTCGAAAAAAGGAACACTTAACATCGAGATTCAACGTCACATGAAAAATTGCATGGTCCCCTTAATTTATTCCCGACGTTTGCACTTTCGTTGCGTCCACTGTATAAATATTTGAAACTCGGACACGAATTACTACTAAATGACCCATAACCCTGTCCGGCAGCATTATCGTGACAATGAATTGTTTAGAGGGCGGACAGAGTGGGTAATTCAATTACACGCGCAAACTCAGGAAAATCTAGGAGGGATCGGTGGCTATCATCCCCTCGGGAAATTCGTTCGACGCAAAAGGATCAAATTTAATGCAAACGCCAGTCGAAATAGTTACAACGTCCGTCACTGATGATCTCTCGAGTATTTTAAATTCACAGCATCGTTGTTGCTCGTCGTAACGTTAAACCGTGCACAATTGACGCGTGAAATTCGCGCAAACGGAAGATCGTACGTAAATCATTCTACATTTTTCATCGAATATTCTCGTTCTCTTCGACGCTCTGATCTATTCTTGCCGCGCGTTTCGCTCAACTTCGCCGCGGTGTTATCGCGATAATCGTAAAACCTGTCGGTGGTGGGACTACGAACAACGGATAAAAGCCTTATGAAAAATGCAACGAAACAACCAACTGTAGTTTCGCGTGCACCGTTACGCACATTATTTACGCCTCCGTCAAACTACGAATTTTTGCAAACGTGTTTCCATACGCGCAGAAAAGCCGACTTGTCCGAGGGAACCAGGTGACGATTCAGCGTTTCGTGAAAGAGTTTCTCCGATTCCCAAGGATTCGTTAACCCGGGGATATTACAATGTGTAATTATCACGGACCTATTGAACCTGACTTTCCCTTAAGTACTCACGTCAGCCTACCGGATCCGAGTGAAAACGTCGCTTTGCCTCGATCGACGTACAAATTGCTTCGATTTTTTCTCTTTTTTTCAGTTAAGATCGTCGAAGGTCTCGAGTCAATTTCACAGTTTCTGTTCTATTGCTTGGAAAATGTACTTAGTATAGAGTATTATATTTTCTGACCAGACTATGAGAAATGTTTATGAAGAAAAATACTGAATTTTAATAATAACAAATTTTCAGGGTATCGAAGTCAATTTTTCTATTCTTCGAAATTCGAAGAAATTGGAAGTTTTGAGAGTGAAAATTTGTGTATTTTGTGAATTAACGACAAAGTATTTTTTTATCCACGTGTATTTTTCGAAATTCCAAGAGATCGGAAGTTTCGAGAGTGAAAATTTCTGAATTAACGACAAAGCATTTTTTTATCTACGTGTATTTATATAAATCTTACTTTACTTCAGTATAATGACATTTTGTTCGTTTCTATGGACTACGATTGTGTGTTTCGTGGTATTACAGGTTCGACTATGAGACGAATTTCTCAGAATTCAAAATGATTAACTCCACTTTTCGATATTCTCCCAATTTTATTATCAAAGCACGCTTAATTCCCCTTGAATAAAAGAAATTTAATAAATTTGATTTCACGGAGTTTTAGTCACTTTGAATTCCGAGCGGGTGAAGTATCGCGCGCAAAGTGGAAAACTCGATCGACCCGAGTCAAAATTTATACACGGTCAACCTGTTATTGCACGGTCAGAGCCAGTACGATTCAGGAAGTTGGCCGTTGTCTGAAACCGTGAGGCGAAAAGAAACTGCATCGGAAAGTTATGGACGAGTTTAAAATGTTTCAATAGACGCTTATATGCATTTCGCGCGTCAAACTCTTCCGAAACTTGGTTCCGTTGAATCGTGTACTCGTTCGATTACATCTTCGTCGAAGTTCGAGCACGTTCCTCGGGAAACTGTCTAACTGTGGCCTCGAAACTGTGTATCGAGTGACCCATTTTGTTCCACAAATGCGTTCATTTCGAAAAGTACATCGAATTCTGAACGTCGAAGTTATTAAAGGGGTAGGTTCTGAGATGAGTATTCCACTTCGCTCTATTCGCGAATTAGAAAGTTCTACGTTGATTTATTATGGCACGTCGATTTTTCACATACCTGAGAATGATATTATTCGTGTATTACAAACATACGTATACGGTTGATTTAAGTGCTTCGATGAGTTCAATTTTTGAGTCTTAATTGCTATGTTAAATACTGTAAGGCGACAATGGTAAAGAGTCCAAATATTTCGGTAAATTTGAGGATCCACAATATTCTCTTAATACGGTAAAGTTAGATTACTGCCAATCCTCAAGATCATCGTACAAATTCTTCACGAAGAGTACAAATATTTCTCTAAATTTGGAGATCCACATTCTTTTATTCTCTTAATAAAATATTCTCAGAATTCTGCCAATCCCTAAGAACATCACACCCATTATTTTATTAAAGACCCACATTCTATTATTCTCTTAGTAAAATAATCTCAGAATCCTGCCAATCCTCAAAATCATCACACAAATCCCTCACAAACTTTTCAGGGCCCCAATGATAAAGAGTCCAAATATTTCTCTAAATTTGAAGATCCACATTCTCTAATTTTCTTAATAAAGTATTCTCAGAATCCTACCAATCTTCAAAATCATGCTACAAATCCTTCACAAACTTTCTAAGGCCCCAATGGCAGAATCCAAATATTTCTCTAACTTTAAAGATCCACATTCTCTAAATTTCTTAATAAAATATCCTCATAATTCTATAAATCATCAAGAACATCACACAAATCCTTCACAAATTTTCTAAGGCCCCAATGGCAGAATCCAAATATTTCTCTAACTTTAAAGATCCACATTCTCTAAATTTCTTAATAAAATATCCTCATAATCCTACAAATCATCAAGAACATCACACAAATCCTTCACAAACTTTCTAAGGCCCCAATGGCAGAGTCCAAATATTCCTCTAAATTTGAAGCTCCACATTTTCTAATTTTCTTAATAAAATAACCTCAAGATCATCGCAAAAATCCCTCACAAATCCTCCATCATCCACACAAAAATAATCCTCCAGAATCGCGTAAAAATTCTCAATCCGTAAGAAGATCCAAATAGTTCCTCAGCGACTCCGGTATCTGAAGCTGCTGTATCCCGTGCGGCAACGCCCAGTTCTCGAACAGCGTCTCACGGATCCTACATCTACAGAGATGTCTCAATTCCGGCGGGCTCAGGCCGCTCCTCTCGGGTGGCAACAATTTCTGCCCCACCAGAGTCGGATACTGTTCGTAAACAGAAACACTAAGAACGCCGCTCTGATCGGCTATGTGACTGGGCGTCTTTACGAAAGCGGTCGTCACGGTTCTCAGCACCAGTCTCAGGCAGACCAACAAATGTTCCGGGTACACGATCCGTTCTTCACCCGGTCTAGCGTCGTACTCGCTCAATCTTGTCAGCAGCATCTCCAACGGAGACGGAGCTAATTTGTCGGACTCGACGGAAGCACCGTAACGGAGCATGATCAAAAGAATATCCGGGCTGCCGTGTTGAATGGCCACTCTCAATGGTAACGCCTGGCCGTACGATTCCATTGGAACGTCGATGAATCGGATTTTCGTTGGGAAAGATTCGCATCGATACTCGAGACGACCTACTGTAGCATGATGCACGAAATACACCAAAGCTCGCATGTTCTCCTCGCGATCCTCGAAGTCGCTCTTCCAGCCGGACAGGAAGTGTGTCACTCTTGTGCCGAAAATTGCACCGACCAGAATTCGCTCGAACGTCTTCTCGCAGTAGAAGATGTCGTTGAGAAGTCGCGAAACGATTTCGTTGTTTCTGAGGTCCCAGTCGAAGCATAGTTTCGCTGCTACGTAGAGAACGTTGTGGAACTTTCCCAGCATGCAAACGTATCCGTTCTCCATCATGGCGATGTTGTGGTAGCGCAGAGCGGACATCACTATTCTTTCGCAGACGTCCTGTTTGTCCAGGTTCTCGGCTGAAATGTTTGGAAGAATGTTAGGTACTGTTGGTGAGGAAAATGGTTTCGTGGTTTGTTGCGAGATCTTTTGTTAGAAATGATGTGCAGTCTCTGAGATTGCTTGGTTATTTTGTTTAATTAAATTAGTGTAATGTAGAAATGAAGCTAGTATGGTTATTTTACTTAATGACATGCATTTGGGTGTTAAGGTTGATTACAGTATTTTATAAAAATAATGTGTTTAGAATGTTATATGAAAAATTGGGAATTTTCTTTTTCATGGAAATAGTGTTCCACCCATTTTCAATTCAAGGTACCAAAATTCTCCACATGGTTGCAAACATAAAATAAAAATTCAGACTCGTCTGCAGTCAAGGGTTAATTAAGAAGAATTTCTTTATAACGCTACCTGAAAAATTAGGAATTTTCTTTTTCATGGAAATAGTGTTCCACCCATTTTCAATTCAAGGTACCAAAATTCTCCACATGGTTGGAAAAATAAAAAAAAAATTCAGGCTCCTCTGTAATCAAGTGTTAATTATCACAAGAGATTGAGGAATTTATTTTTCTTTTATTTCATCGACGAAGGAAATCGTCTACAGAACCTGAAGCTGTGATTAACTGGATTTAGGTTAGGTAGGTTCTTGTAACTAAGGATAACAGTGCTCGTAAACATGATAATATCTAGCGGTAACCACTGGGTTGTGGTTCGAAGGATATTTATGTTCATTGTTGCTATTAATTGATGACCAGTATAAAGGTGGCAGTTACGATATTTATCGCGGTGAAAGTAGCGATGTTAACAGCAACGTCACCGTTTCACGATGACTGCACAATGTTTCACTTCCTCGGAGACGTAAGTCTTTCTTGCCGGGTTTAATGCTCGAAAACATGCGGAAATTACTCGTGAACCTCTTATTTACCAGCGTGACCCACCGTGGGTCATTTCAACACAGAAGAAACAAAGAACTAACGTCCATGCACCCTGAAGCGTACACTGTCGTTAAAATCGGGACTCATCAAGAATTTTTTTTGTCTTTATTAAGCAACAGGTGTACTTTTGTCGTTAATTTTTTATTTTCACACTGTTTCCAAGCGTCTCTCCTTGTCTAATCTCTCAATCCACCACGAACACCGACGCAACTCGCGAAACCCTCGTTTCACGGACGAGTAATTCCGGTCACATCGCTCCGGATCGTCGGTTTGCATAATTTTTCGAAGAAAGTAAAATCATACGGAGGCGAACGATGCACAAGTTTCTCCCGCATGTAACATTACACAGAGGATCACTTTCTTTCCGGTATTCTCGATCGAGAGCCACTTTCATGGTCACACAATACAGTTTCTAGGAGGTCGCTGGACGAACCTCTGCCAGCCAGTGATTCGGAAATATCCGCGGGAGTGTATTGACACGGTCCGAGACCGACTCGAATCTCTCCTCTTTCTTTTCGAGTCTCCGTTAGACTTACGGTAAATCTTTCACGAAAATCTCTATCAGAATGATCTACGATTTTCTAACAGATTCGCGATCGTTCGACAAGTCTGTCGAACGAAAGATTAACCCTCGTACGACGAAAAAGAATTTTTTAATTAATGAACTGTTGAATGTCAACTTTAGTTTTTGTCTCGTTGAATACAAATATTTGTCATGTTTTTACCATTCTGTGATAGGAAATCTGTGAGATTGATGTCTCCTCGTAAATTTCGGATAAACAAAGCAATTGTAGTGATCCTCGCCAGGATGTAATTAGGCATGTGCAGGCAGTAAATGAAAATCCTGAACTCAAAAGTAACCTTTCCATCGTGTCACAAAACCGCTTCTACAGAAAACCTAACAACGGTCATTTCGACTCGACAGCGACAAAGTCAGACGGCTCAGATTACGCTTAGTACAGGAAACACCACCCATTTTATGTATCAAACGTAAATAAACAAGAAAAATATAAAATATATGTAGTTGAAAGTATACACATTTATACACAATTCCTTCTCGAAACCCGTGTACGATAGAAATTTTGCTACGGGTCAATAATGACCCCGCATTCGTCTCCCGCGTCCGTCTAAAACCATTCGCCATCCGAGGGTTAGCCCCTTAACATATGACAACCTGTCAGACTCGTGGCACAGATTCTGACGAAGATGTGAGAAAAATCGTTACATTAGTAAGAAAACTTCATCGTAATCCTAAATTCCGTTTGAATTTCTAAGACTGAGGATTGCTAAATGTAATTAATCTGTGAAAGATTAGTTTTCGTTACTTGATACAGTACTAAAGTAGAAAATGGCTGACGCTTAGATGCGTAGTCAGAAAAGTAATCATGTGTTAAGGGGCTAAGTAAGACGAGATCGTTTACCTTCTGCACAGCTGTTTATCACTTCGGAAAAGTAGCCGACCATCTCGCGACGTTTGTACCGCGAGGCCAGGCAACTTCGTTCCATCTCGGCGAATAATTTGTCGAAGTAACAGTCGATCAACACCTCCATCGTTCGTTTCAAGCTCGATGGAAAAGCTCGACGGATGACGTGCACCGATCGCGCGTAGACTAAGGGCCTGTTCTTCGACGTTTCAACCGACTGTCGCGACCATTGTACACCACGAAATGATAGCTGATACGAGGAACAACCGGGGAAACGAGAGACGGCTAATTCGATTAGACGTTAAATAAGTAGATTCCAGGGGCTTCCCGTGTTCGTTCAGCGAGGGGACGACGAGATCGTTCCTGAGGTTCTGGTAAAAATTTCAACTTTGTGGATTTGTCGATGTACAGGCGGAAACGTTGGGTCTTGGTAATTAGCGATTTTTTATATTGGGTATGTTTATGTGGGTAGTAAATTACAAGATGTCAAAGTGGATGGGATAGGTGTGCAACATACTTTCTGCGAGGAATGTTGCAATGTTGCTTTGAGGTTACGTGGGAAAGATCGTGTATTGTTTCGATGATTTTGAGATATGTTAATGAGAGAATAATTGATAAAAACTTTCCTATTTTACCTTTCTGTTATTTTATATATTTACATATTTTTAATATTAGTTCAAGAAAGTTGCAAAATCGTGTTCAGTTATTATTTCTCGTTGCATTTATATAGAAAATTTGTTGCAACTGAATGTAGTACTTTCTTACTACATACTAGTAAATAAAAAATAATGAATTTTTTTTTGCCACATAATAAAAAAATATTTCTTATACATACTATACTTGTTACAACTGAATGTAGCAATTTAAATTCGATTTTTTAATCTACTAATTAAATTCGTCGCATTCTCAATGTATAGTTTATATAAGAAATATTTTTTCCTTGCCAAAGAAAAAGTTCTGAACCAAACTTTGAATAAGAAACAAACAGATTTAAACGTTTTTTAGAATACCATATTTTAATGATAAATTTATGCTCGAAATTGTTGTATTTTCAAAATATTAACGATAAATATTCTTCTCTATTTATTGCAGATATCTGTGCATGCCGGAGAATCAAGATCCCCAATTCCTGTTGGAGTACAGAGGACCCGTGACGATGAAGGGGAAATCTGAGCCGATGAACGTTTGGTTCCTATCCAGAGAAAGGGAGCTAGCCGCATAAATTCGCTGTCCTAAAAATTCATTCTACCACTTCGGCACGACGAACACTTCACTCGTTTAAACGCATCGCATAGGGAAATAAGATTTTTACTTATGGCTCTAATATCCCATAAACGAGTAACCATTGGATAGCTAATAGCAAAACGCAAACCGTGGAAAATCTGTTTATAATTGCACGACATTTAATCCTGAGACGACTTCCTTGAAACGTACGCGAACGTATCGATTTGCAAAGCGACTGTGCAAAAGAGAAATCCCATTATAACGTGTTTACCAATCGTAAATTACAGTTAACGTATTACCGTAACCGCACAATAAGAGTAATCGGCGTGCTTTAATGAGCGTTGCAAGAGGAAGATGGAAGTTTCCATAAGTGATGGCCCCCGAAGCAATAAAATCAAACGCGTAACGTTTTCTTCGTGCGAATGCCTATTCGTTAGGTAACATCTCGATTCTTCGATATTACTGTGTTTATTGTTTTGCACTCTTCCACTTCCTTTTTCACTTGCAAAATTCTCGAGCGAACAATTGAAGGGAGAAAACTTTCGTCATTTCTTGACCAGTGGGTCACGCGTGAACAAAAATTCATCACAATTTAGTATCTATCCATTAAAAGTTCTTTGATAAAATAAATCGATTCCAAAAGTGTTAATGTATGTACAATTCAGAAGTCGTCTTAGGTTTAACGTGTTCAGAGGGGTGTGACCCATGGTGGGTCATCGAGTGGGTCACTAAATTTCCGAAGTGACCCACGGTGGGTCATTTCAAGGTGGATGACAAAAAATTTAACGAAGCGGGTGACCCACGTGGGTCAGGGTGACCCACCTTGGGTCATTCCAGAATGGATGTCAAAAAATTTAATAAGCAGCGTGATCCGCGTGGGTCATCGAGTGATGTTCTTTTTGCTTGTTTCCCATGCGTGGGTCATTCGTGGAATAGGAATAGACCCGTGTGGGTCATCAGTGGTGCTTCTATTTACCGCCGTGACCCAACAATGGGTCACTCTTTTCATCATTCACGATAAATAATCCATCGATGGGTCACGTCGAAAAATAAGAGTCCCACTCGATGACCCACCATGGGTCACACAGTCCCGAACGTGTCAGTATCGCGTTGAAAAACGGTTCCTCGTTAACGTGCATCGACGTCCAATAGGCAATCTCGATTCTCCACGTCCAATCTACGACTTCACGACCAGTGTTTACCAATTGTAAATGTAAGAGGCAATCAAATATAAGTGTCACAGATACTATACTATCGATGGTACGAAACATTTCTTTTCCCCACTGTTTTCGTCGGTCGAAAATAGTTCGTCCTTCCAGAGGAGCCACGTCATAGGTCGCCAATTTGATATAACTTCACCCTTAAACGAGGAAGAAAGAAAAAAAAAGAAGGGACACTTGGAAGCAGACAGAGGCCGATGGAATGCTTCGAAGCTGGAAGGTGTAACGGAACCTGTTCTACTCCCCAACACGTCCCACGCAAGTCGCAAGGTCAATACATCGAGGCTTGTGCATAACACGATGCGGCACAGATTCCAACAATCATTTTTCCCTCTTTCCTACGAGGAATATCTCAATATAACGCCACACCACTTGCCAGAGTAATATATCACGCTTGTTAGGTACCGGCCATTCGTCCTGGTTCTTTTATAAGTACCAGATGCAGTACATGCAAGCATACACGCGTGTTTTATTATACGTCGGATTTTTTTATCGGGTAATACCTTTTTCTTTCCGCGCTGATTTGTTGAAGTTCGTTCTGGTCCCTGGGAATTTTTTAATCAGAGGTTAATATTTTTTCTTATTTATTTATGTGTAATATATTTTAGTCAAGCGTATGAGTGTAATTACTGTTGATTAGGAATGTGAAATTTTAAATAAATTTTGGTTAAATTGAGTGACAAAAATTTGTTTCATTTTTTATTCATTTTTTGTGTATATGTACAGTATATTTGGTTCAAGAGTACGAATGTAATTATTGAAAAATGTGAGTAAACTGACGAAGAGGAGAAAATAGTATTAACAATCACCGTCGATATTTATCAATCAATAACGATCAATGGACAGCAGCGTGTTTCTTCGACGCGTCTCGAAGCAAACAGATAAGCTCGACAATATAATATACGATCGACGAAGAAAAATGATACCAGTGCTATACATTTTCCCTCTGAAATCGACTAACCTTTACACACGAGCACCGTGTACAATGACTCGAGAAAGAATTTTCCGTACACGTTTGCACGGCGAACTAACCACGGTACGTGTCAAACACGTGAAAAAGTCATTCCTCATTTTGCAAGAGTTTTACTCGCGGAAACGATACACGATTTCAAAACGCATGTTAACGTTCGTACACGAACACCTGTTTCATATCGAACCGTGTTCACACGATATCACATACCCGACAGAGACTTGTACACACACAGAAACAAGCTTCCATAAGAAAAAGAAGAGAAAATAAAAAACAAAAAAAAAAAATAAAAGAATCAAGAATTCCCAAGAGTGCATTATGGTTTCCTAGACACGCCAGTTGCATGTTATTTTAACTGTTTATAAAGTTACTTATTCAATCGCATGCCGGCGGTAAGTGGTATGCAGAATACAGGTTTTCACAGCGTGGAAAGAAAGGCGAACACTGGCCAACTGGTTTACCGGGTGAGGTATGTGGAAAATAAGGCCAAATAATAAAGAGTAAAAGAAACATCCGAGGCTCTGTGGTATTAACCGATCGATGCCAATACCGTCGATCTCGCGAAATTCGGATTTCGATGGAAAAACGACGAAATTCTGACGCGTTTCGAAGCTTCCTGACCGCAACCCAGATATGTATTTAGCACACGACGCCTTAGATATGTCCATTTCACATCCATTTCTCGCAAAGACGCAAGAAACGTGTAAAAGTTACGTCTTTAACCCTTGGTACGGTGTTCGGGTCTTTTTTGACCCATCGCCTTTCTATTTTTTTTTTACTTTTTCAATAACTTAAGATTGTGTTAAAAATTTATTGTCTAGGTAACATCGTCTGGTAACGAAAATTGTTACACACAAGATCCTCGGGTCTTTTCTGACCCGTGGCCTTTTTATTTTTTTAATAACTTTTGCTGTTGTGAAGTTTATGTTCCCTTGACATTATACTGAAAGTTTGTTGTCTAGGTTCAGATGGTTTGCTGATAATAAATATTGTCACACTTGAGGTCTCTGGGTCTTTTTTGACCCAAGCCAAATTTTGACGGAAGAACGAACTAGGTTAAAGTCAGACCGTAGTATCATTTCGTGGATTCAGACGTCTTTTGGACATTTTCAGGCTTTCACGCGAATTTAGGCTCTTTCATTTTGGATGAATTTGTGAGGTGAAATTAATTCCTCCAGCGAAGCGAAATCTCTCCTTAAAGACTCTATCTTTTCCTCCTGATGCAGCATTAAAGAATCAATTAAAGAGCCATTTAAAAAATTGCTTTGCATGCGTCACAAGTGTCTTAATAAGTAGAAAAAGATTTAACATTGTCACTCGTTGAACACACCGAGAAAAAAAATCCTGAAAATTGCCGAAATTTTCGGCGTGATTACTAAAGTATCCTCTTAACCCTCTGAACTCCTTTGTTGACTCGACATCAACTTTATTCGCAAGTAGGAGTCATTCACTTCTATATGGAGTCACACTCGGCATTTTTAAACTGCCAGTTTAAATACGTACGATATTTCGCAATATTTTCTTCTCAGAAACGAAAAGGAAATTTTCAGAAAATTAGAAGTACAAAGGGTTAAAACGTTCGCAAGACCTGATATCAACCTTATTTCTCCTTCTTCTCTCTCAAACTTCCAATACACAGTAAAATCGTGAAAGCTAAATTGGCAGGGCGTGAATTCGTAACAACCTGTCTCGAATATCGACAGTCGATACCTGTAGCCATCGAGCAGAGCGACAAAATGGCGTTCACAGATTTATTCACCTTTCGCATCTACCCGCGGAAGGTACTTCCCTGAAAAGCGACAGTTCCACCGTCGATTTCTACTCATTTGAATAAAGATATTCAACGACCGTTTAAACATCACGCGAGGTGAATTAGCGTGACATTCTTTTGCTCTCAGGTAGCTATACCCCTTATCTGGCGAAACGGCCAAGAGCTGGTAGATAAATTTGTGGAACAATGCCCTCGAAGGATACGGAAGGAACGCGCAGAAATATTCGAGAGAGATTAAGGTTGGTAATAACGTATGAAATTAACCTGAATAATAATAACGGTGCTCGGGCAAGTGCGGGTCGAGTAATGTTAGATTTGGTATCAGCGTAAACGTTAATACCTCCTTTCAACACAGCACTTCCTCAGGTGGTAAACAATTTTTTCCTTTCAACAGTTCTCTTGTAATTTTATCGATCGTTTCATTCTAGGCGACCTCGAATGTTACAATGTTAACCCTTTGACTGCTATCGGCGGCGATAGTTAATAGTTCTGTAGTAAACGACCACACTATCGGCGCTTTTAACACTATTTAGGTTTACGGGATGTGTCATTTTGACGCGTTCCGAGTTTCACGAGGTGAATTAGAGAAACCGTTTACATTTCTCTCCTACCAATTATAAATTTTATGTGAATACATAGTATCGCATAGTTTCGTTTATAAGTTAATAGTGTGTATGTTATTTTTTAAAGAAAATGTGCGGTTTCATTCACGCGTGAAATTGACGCGTAGAGATAGGTAATGAGAAATGTCCGTGAACCCAGTGTTAAATATTACGTTCATATATTCTTTGTTACCGATATAAAATATAAAATATGAAAAAATGGTCAGAAAAGCAAATTATGGAGGTAATTTAATTCGTGAACATGTTTTATAGATAGTGACTATTAACACTAAACGTACCACTCCGGGCTTTTTTTTTTATTTAAAACCATAAGTTTCTTCCCGTTCTTGTTCAAAATAAAAATGCAAATATGTAATCTAAACACTATTTTCTGCGTTGTTTCCTGTATTCGATTGACAATCACCTATATTCCTTTCGGAAAAATATGATTATTCCATAATTGGTCACAAAGTGTCGGTACGATTAGTGTTAAATGCTATAACTCGACAGCGACTGCTTTACTCCTGAGTGGCCAAAAGTCAAAGGGTTAATAACGCCTTCTTTCTTTTCTGTTCAAAAATTAATATTCTTTGGTACCGTCGATTTTTCCTCTGAATATTTGTACGTGACGTTTCAGCACTTTATCAGTGGCATATGGAACGATTTGCTCGATTTTAATACCGTGGAATTCCGCACACAGAGCCCGGGGTAGATGAAAATTTTCCGCGAGGGAAATGAACGTGTTAAACGTGAATAAAACGTGTTATACGTGAGTTTGGAGTTGATACAACGATTAGAAAATATCGATCGGTCCTCCGTTGGGTAAATGAACTCCTGTGGAAATACACCAGCACTTTGCTCGTCCGACAAAGTCCCTAATAAACGAGATTAAATGTTGCTAACCAAGGACCTTATTCATTATGCTACGCAGCTCCTGGTAAATGAGATTAAATATGTTGAACCATGTAACAATCTCTCGAACGTGTAACAGTCTCTCTAAATGGCACTGGCATAAAGTTTCACGTGTCGCGCGTGTACCGAACGCTTAAAAGTTGTACAAATTGGCTTAAAATCGAGTGAAATAACAGTGGCAATTATCAAACACCTCGAGACACGTTCCGCTGAAGATATATAATGCCCCTGTTAGCGATAAACTCGCTCGTTAAACGAACAACAATAGCAGATGGGTGCGCGTTTGATGTGTTTCATCGATAAAAAGCAGAAAATTACGAAGGACGAGTTTTAACGTAATTATATTTATGAAGTGTGAACGCGGTTTTAACGTTTGAAAAATGCAATTATTAATCTAAAGTGTGAACGCGGTTTTAACGTTTGGGAAGTGCTATTATTAATCTAAAGTGTGAACGCGGTTTTAACGTTTGGGAAGTGCTATTATTAATCTAAAGTGTGAACGCGGTTTTAACGTTTGGGAAGTGCTATTATTAATCTAAAGTGTGAACGCGGTTTTAACGTTTGGGAAGTGCTATTATTAATCTAAAGTGTGAACGCGGTTTTTACGTTTGAAAAGTGCAATTATTTGTCTAAAGTGTGGCGTAAGATCGCGTGCAAGAAAAGAATAACTCGTGAAAACAGCGATTTGGAATATATTAGTTTGAAAAGTGCAACAATTTGTGTAAAGTGTGAACGAGGTTTTAACGTTTGAAAAATGCAATTATTTGTCTAAAGTGTGAACGCGGTTTTAACGTTTGAAAAGTGCAATTATTTGTCTAAAGTGTGAACGAGGTTTTAACGTTTGAAAAATGCAATTATTAATCTAAAGTGTGAACGAGGTTTTAACATTTAAAGAGTGCAATTATTTGTCAAAAGTGTGAACGCGGTTTTAACGTTTGAAAAATGCAATAATTTGTCTAAAGTGTGAACGCGGTTTTAACGTTTGGGAAGTGCTATTATTAATCTAAAGTGTGAACGCGGTTTTAACGTTTGAAAAGTGCAATTATTAATCTAAAGTGTGAACGCGGTTTTAACGTTTAAAGAGTGCAATTATTTGTCTAAAGTGTGGCGTAAGATCGCGTGCAAGAAAAGAATAACTCGTGAAAACAGCGATTTGGAATATATTAATACGTAATTTGGTTATCTAACGAAGCTAATAAGAAAAGAGAGAAGGCGTCGATTGTACCGTCTCGTTCTTATTCAGATTTTTCTCCTCTCCTGTTTGCACTTCGAATCGATCCTGTTGATTCTCTGCAGCAGGTTGTTGTTCCATCGCGGTGGAATCAACTTATCCTGCTCCTTTTTCATCTTGCCTCGAGATCATCTTCAACGAGGTTACCAACAGCGCAGACCTCTTCAGTAGCCACCTGTTCAAGCACTAAGTGTGATAAAGGAGAACTAAGAACGAAATGAGATTCACACTTGCAATTTACAATCGTACACTTTCTATAATGCGATGTAAATTTATTTATAGTAGTATTTTGTATACGATATTTTGAAAAATTCCTTTCAACTCGGTGTTATATCACATCGCGATAAATAATTCATTTTTAATTTGCACGACGATCTATGTCAAGTATATTATACACAATATCATCGGGCAGCTAATTAACATCGATAATCAGGTGCCTCTGATTATCCTCATTTTGCGAAAATGTAATCGTCTCAGCGTGTACAGTTGATGGAAGAAATGTGGATAATTATAATTCACTCTGGCGTCGAAGTTTACATCTTCGAGAATATTAACGAGCAAATCGATAAAAACCTGAGAAGATGATCGGAAATCTCAGTTAGGATTAAATAGATAAAGTGTGCTTCAGCTTTGATTCACTCAGAAAGTGTAAAATGCTGCCTAAAACACTTTGTAATCAGATGACTCTAATTATCCTTATTATGCAAATGCATGAGTCTGTTGAGGAATCAAAAAATTCCAAAAAACATCAGAATAAACTCACGTTAGTCTCATTCAGAAAGAAGGTCTTAGAAAGTTCATTCAGTAATCGTACAACTCACCGCCAATTCAACCCGCCCAGCTACAATCAAATAGACTACTATATAGTACACAGTGTCGGTGAAATTTCGGCAGGTGTACCCGTACGATCCAGGTATACACACCTCGAACCAACCTCGCACACACTCTCCTAAACCTGTCCATATACACGAGAAAGCCGGTGAACGGTAAAGAACAGGTATTTAAATGAGAAACCTGATAGTCGATTCTACCTGGCTCGATAGAGGACGCCACGTCCTCCTCGAGCAAGTGCTTACGTGCCAGACGACTTCCAAGACTCGTTCTCGTCCTTCCCACCCCCTTTTCCTCCACCACATTCGCACGTCTTTCTCGCTTATTCATCCATACACTCTCTACACACACACGCTCTCTCGTTCGTCCTTTCACTCGCTCGATCGCTCGCCGTTTAACGTGCGCTCGCTTGTTCACTCGCACGTCCCCTCTAGCTACTTATTTACCTACCAACACTCTCTCACACACACACACGCTTCTTTCACTCGTTCACTCATTCACTCACGCTCGAGGGCCCACTCGTTCATTCTCTCGCTCGCGACGCTCCTACTCCTTTCCCAGACCGTTCGATCTCCGTTCCACCGTGTGTCTCGCGGAACGTGCTGATCACAGTCTCCTCGGACCCAAGTCTCCCCCCACTCCGCCACCGCCCAGTCCCAAGAACTCGTTCCCCCACTCCATGTCTCGCCGTGCCCCGTCGCGAGGCCTCCAACTTGGGTCCCCACCTCGGCCAACGAAACTGCATGAGTAAGTGTCAGAGGCACTCAGTACAGTTACTGACGGCCCGTACCGTGAACGATCGCCGTCGTCGACTATTGTCATCGTCGTCGTCTCGCGTCGCGTCGTCGTCTATCTCGATTAGAGTTACTTTACCATGCGTCGCTACTGATAAACGCGATTAGTAAGTGGCGGTTACACACGTTTCTCTCTGTCTCTCTCTCTCTTTCTCTCTCTCTCTGCTTTCCTTCTTCACTTTCGTTCTCTCTTTCTCTATTTTTTTCTACCCTATCCCCGCTGTTCCGTCCCAGGAGAGAAATTTTCCTGCGTGCAAGCTCTCGCGGTGCATTTCGTATTCCGCGCGACATCCCTCGAGTGCAGTAACAGACCGTTCCGACACCGACGAGATGCAGTGTCGTCGATTGCTGGGAAGTTCGATCGACTGATCGGGAGGAACTCTCTATCGTTTGTGTAATTAAAGAACGACGAGACACTCGAAGGTGAACCAACAGATTACTCTATTTCTCGAGATGTTCGATGATCTTTGACGATATGTCCAATCTCTCGATGTGACATTGTTCTCTCGTTGCAATTAAATCCGATTGAACCACCTGTTGCATGCTTGTTGTCTAAAAGCACCGTACTCACGAGGAATCGTTCTACCACCCTTGAAAATTCCTATCGAAACAGAGAGACGACGAGGGAAGAAAAAGAGGAAGGAGAATCTAAGGTGTATCTCGAAGTGACAGTGCCCTCGAATGTGTATATGGACGGGATCGTCACGATGACCGTTCCACCGACACTGCCGGCCAAGACTCAGCCACGGGACCCGAGTCAGGTTGCCCGACAGACTGTGTCAATCCGGACTGTTTCCAGTCCCACCACGGTACCTCTTAGCACAGGGGCCGGAGCAACGGTATTTGTCGGACTGGCCGCTCCTGGCGTCGATTCCGCGGCCGCCTGTAGGAGAAGAATCCCGGAAGTGCAAGCCGCGAACGGCTACGGCAAGCAGAGCAGCGTGAAGCCGGCTCAGAACACGCAGAACCAGCTGCAACAACAGCACAGCGGCCAACAGCAGCAGGCGGCTCATGTGGTGAAGATCAAGATTAATCCGGATGGTGAGAAGAACGGAAGGGTGATATCGACAGTACGATTGACGCTTGACGAGAACGTCGTCGGCCACGAAGCCGAACAGGAGAACGGGATCGCGTGCGAACGTTCGAGCAAGCGTGACGGTGGTGTGGTCGTGAGTGCGACGAATCTGGTGAACGAGCAGCGTTGTGGAAGTGGCAGTGACGGCTGTGTGAGGATCAGTGTTGGCTCCAACTCCTTCGAACGCAACAACAACAACAAGGACAAACGTAATCGTAACGAGGAGAACTCGGGGAAAGATATGGTCCACCGTGAAACATCGGAACCGCTGAACACAACCACCTCGAGCAACAACCGTTCGAGCGCTTGCTTCTATTACAATTCGTACCCCAGCCAGCTGAACGGTATGGTGATGTCAAGTGGACAGTGTTCACCGAGTGACACTCTCGACAGTGGTACCTGCAGCGATCTAGACGGAACACCTCCGCCTCTGCCTAAGAAGAAGAACGCCAGTACGGTTATTCTAGCCAGTGAGCAGCATAATCGCACAGGCAGCTTGACGAGCAGTGGGGCGGAGGTAGATAGCGACGATAACGAGAGTAATATCAGCTGCGATTCGCTGAACGGTCGTGAACTTAGCGAGAGAATAGTGGAAGGAGGGATCAGTGGGAATGATGTCGAGACAGATCGAGCATCGCTCGATTATCAGGAACATTCGGAGAATCGTCGTTTGGAGAACGGTATGGGACAGCAGCAGACGTATCATCGAAGTACCAACGACGCTACGTCGAACGTGAACAGATTGGATCTGTCGAACGAGCAGGACGAACGATCGAGCAAGGAGTACACGCCGGTTGCCTCGTCTCCGGAAGTCGATTCGAGTTCTTCCTCGAACGGAGCTTCTCCCAGTGTCTCTCCTTCGCCGTCCGGTATCTCATCTTTGTCGAAAGCTTCTTCCACGCCTAGAATCAGAAGTCCGGACCCGATAGCCGAGCAGAACGGCAGACTCTCCTCTCCGGTGATAAAGGAGTGCACGTACGAGGAGAGGAAACAGGAGCAGGAGAGGTTAGAGCAAGAGTCGATGGTCCATTACGTGGATAACAACGTGAACCCTGTGACTGGAAAGAAGTACGTGTACGAGTACGACAGGTTCTTCAAGTTTCACCTGAACGAACTGAAAGCGGACAATAAGGACAGTAACAACAGGGGTGTGGTGTTAGGAGATAAAGAGAGCGACGAATGTTTCGCTGGTTACAAGATCCTCGACAAGGAAGCCATACGCAGTGCCAAGGGAACTGTACGCGGTGTTAAAAACAGAGTTCGCGCTGGGATCGCGACGTTCCTTCAGAAACCCTCCTCTCAGGTTTGTATCGTGTTACTCTATTATACATGCACCTCCCATTCATAAGTATCAAGACACTTCCTGAATGTGAAGCGAACCTAAATAGTCATTAAAAAATTATCCAGCTTCGAGTTTCGCGGTGTAATGAGTGCATACGTTTCGGCCGATGCGTGGTGCTGAATCTGCCGAAGATGTACATACCGGGTGTCTGAGTTTTTTCCGATCGAAATTTTTCAAACTTTGTGAGTACATTCTATGGGTGTACGTGAGAAGAAAATGTTATATGAACGTAGGTCCTTTGAAGCTTCGTTGAAGAGTTATAAGGAAAATATGAAATACGAAGGGAAAGGTTAACGAACTTTGTGATTTAATAAATAAAATTACCAAAGCAGCTTGGGAGATTACACGTCATAAAGACATATGTTTGTATATAGTTAAGGGTGAAATTGTACGATAGTTCCTGTAGGAATATAATGGGTGTCCTAATACTTATGAACGGCGGTGTACAAACACGTTTCGTTCCTCTGTGCTTGAAGAATTCCTGTTGCGTGCCAATTAACGGGCGATCCCGGCAGCTAAAAGAATGCTAAAGAGATACACAGGGAAGCGAATGAAAAGTTTAAATTAAGCGATGCTTATCAGCGCCTGAGGCCTGCGATGTTCGCGGTTATCCGTGCAGGAAGCCCCCGAACAGAAACGTTTCTTTTTTTCCACGGGGATTAAGACGGTAGGAAGCTTCCGGGGAAGTTGAAAGGGCGCGAAGATAGGTGTAACTGTTTCTCGACTTTGCTCAGGACGCGTGAAAAAGTCATGAATCGCCTTGAGAGGTACACCAAAGTGGTGAAAGGCGTTCTCAAAGGTCAGAAGGACAAGATGTGGAAAAATTTGCAAATCCGTGTTCTAGATTTCACCGAATATCTGTGGACGCTTTCGCACACAAACTTACCACTATAGATTATCGATAGGGTATCGACACGTTGTTGATATTAGTTTCTAAAACAGGACAGATTCTTTCGGATAAAAAAACGAGGTTACGAGTCGAAACACGCTAGTATGCTTTCTACGATAAATTTGAATAAAATAAACAGATCCGAGTGATAAGTTTATTACGCGTTGCATTCTACTCTATATCTAATTTTCACCCGGTATGCCGCGAGAGGTCCTTTTTGTCAAATTGGCAAAAAAATGTAATACACTTTTTGATGTACCGTAGAATTGTAGTAATTAGTTTGTGTGTGCCTGGAGATAGAAAAGGGTTAAAAATTGCTGCTCTATATTTATCTTATCGACATATTTATCGATCGTATTATCGTTAACAGTACTTCTAGAACGAACGCCTATCGGGCATCGTCACAGATACATACATACATAGATCGGCACTAAAAATGGCGAGAAAGACAACGTATAGAGCGTGAAACGGTGTCTCGTTTCGTCGTCTACGGACACTATCGACGTGCTTTAAATATCAGCTCGCAATAGCCAACCGTTGGTAGCCGGGCCTAGTAAACGACGCGTCGATTTGTTATGCAAATCAACGGCTGACACTCCGATCACCTGACGAGCGTTTCAACACGGTCCAATCGAACGGTATCGAATGGCAAGTTCGAGCCTGCTGTCGAGTAGCAATAGCTACACCAGCGCCGGCTATCTATTTACGCTGTTCGCGTGATACACTTGATTCGCGTCGTCGGCGACGACGACGACAACGACGACAACTACCGGCCGTTCGACGAGCGAAAAGCGTTAGATTTACAGTTAGATCACCTCCTCTCTGACCAGTTTCGATCGGGCTAGTTTGTTGACTGGCATCGATCGATGACGTAGATGACGACGGTGCGCTGTTGCGTCCCATGTGGTCCTCGTTGCAAGGTTTCCGGTGTTGCCATGCGAGCAGCGTGCATAGAACGAGAATCGTACACCGTCGATGCAGAACGGATCGACATAACGGTAGATCCGATAAAGCGATATTACAGCAACGTGCAGAGGAGCGTGCTCGTTGTCCCTAGCTACAAACCAGTCTTCTTTCTCTCTTTCGATCTTTTTTCTTCGTCTTCGGTCTCTCCCACTCTCCTTGTTCCTTCGTTTACACGGATTTTTCCGCATATGCATGATGTATGTACGTGTAACTGTTATGTGTACGTGTGTGTAGAAGAGAACCCTTGAAGTGCGTGTGTGGTCGAGTGCGGTCTACTTCGCGAAATTACAGACCGAGAGGAGACTGGACTACGCGAGAGTTTCCTTGTAACTGGCCACGGAGCAATCACGGATTCACTACAGCTTGTCCCACGGGATTTCGCGTATTGGCTCGATCGATGTGTTCTCTGTTGAACGTCGTTCGCTTTTTCGCGACCGTGAGCTCGCGTTGGAGAAATCTGTTACCGAGAGTTTCTTTGTCGACAAAGTAAAAATGAACGGATTTAACGTGGTTTACTTACTAAGAGGTTTATTTCGGATATGTGACCATTGATTGTCGTGTGTATCTGACTTTATTGGAGAATTGTGTGTGTGTGTGTTTTGTGACATTTAGTGATTGTGTTTTTGTTGATATTCGTTTTGTAAGATGTTTCTCGGTTTTCTGATATTTTGGTGTTATTACGATAGGTATTACCGGTGGATTATTAGTTCTCGATATGTTAGATTCATAAAGTGGAAAAGGAACAAGGTGGAATTACGATAAAAATGCGGACCGGACGGAACTGGGGGTTACATAACCTAATACGTCACATTGTCAAATTTGAATACAGTAACGCATTTCGTGCATCGAACGGCAACCTTTCGTTTATTGGAAAATTCAACATTATATATCTTTGCAAATAACGTGTATTCGCACAAACAATGTTCATGTGGGTATGTTTATTTTCGCTCTAGATTCGCCGGGGAACGTATTCGATCGAAATTGATGACCTCGTACCTACGATTTCTCTTTGTCGATTTTGAGTTTTATGCGAACGCACGAACCTGAGTCGCGGTGTGCAAGAATTATACATACGCATATGTATGTAAGATGTTTATCGAGTTCAATACGATCGTGTTGCGAACAATCGAACGTAAACTTCATAGAGAGCGTTCGACACGAGATTCCGATGTTCCACTTTCTTTCACGATGCTGTTTTATTTACCATCGTAGATGAGCAAATTTACAACCAAGTTATATCATCGGAATGACTAATTAAAGCGAAACACGTTAACTCAGGTAGGCACGGTGATATTACGTCGATTATTAAATTAAGGTTACGAATACTTTTTATAAAATTATAACCTCGTAAAGCACACAAAGATACGAGGCAATTCAGCAGCTAATTAGGTTAGGTTGAAGAAGCCGTAAATCAACGGCGGTAAAATTTCACGTAGGAATATTTCAGAAATCCAGCAGCATTGCGACTGAACACGTTTCGTGAATTTCATTATTCATTAAAGCTTATACATCCTCCGGTACGTATTGTGGAAACGGTTGAACCTTTGATGCAAGAGAGAAGGCCTCGGATTGTACAATATTCGCCAGTAAAGCAACGTAATGGCCGCGTTTCGCAACGCGTTTCTTAAAGGCTCCTCGCAACAGGTACATTTACGGGAGTCATTTACTTAGCGACAATTTTCCTTCGTTTCTTAACGCGTTTCATTAGATGGAAGAAGAAGAAGAAGGGGAAAAAAAGGGAACGCCGCGTTACGGTCAATGTTCTGACACAACGACCGCCCGGAGACGGAATCTCTCGCGACGACGAGATTAGAGTGAGAGAGAGGGAGGGAGGGAGAGCCGTCGCTGGAAGGTAATCTGCGGCTGCTGGTGTCGTAATTGTACTGTTTTTCTTGTCGTAGAAAAATGAGATCGCTGAGTATGCAATTCGTTTCATCAGCTGGCACACGAAACCGTGGCGCTGTTACGCTAGAAACGAGGTGGACTCTCTTGCGATTAGCTGCATTATGAATGGACGATGTTGTACACGGTATATTAATTACGCGGACAATTGGTAATATCTTCTAACTGTACCGAGGCCGTAATGGTAAATGTCTTCATCGTCGAACGTTCTGCGTCGAATTCACGCCATTATTTTTTGCACAGTTATTTTTGGTTACGTAATACTTCGACCCTTTCTCCATTGATTTATTTTTTATTTTTAATTTGTCATTTATCTATCTATTGAAATTAATTCTTTTTCGAGTGCTTTTCTAGTGAAGTGAGATATACGTTTCATTGATTATAAAAGGGTCATGGAGAATTCGATTAATTTTTAAAATTTTCCTTGAAAATGATAAAATTAAAAATTTAAGAAAAATAAAATTTGAAGAAAATTGAAAATTGTGTAAATTTTAATAAATGAGTATTTTAATGAATATTCTTTGATTCAAGTGAAGTATAAAATATTAAGGACGCACCACAGGTAACCTCGAAAAGATTTTCTCTCTTCGTGAATCGTATCTACGGTTCGATTTGACTCTTTATTTTCTTTTTATTAGAATAATAGCTCTTTATTCTGGTCACCATAGCGTTAAATGTTCCTCGATCAGAGTAAAAGCTGGGTTACAGAGATTTCACTTGCAACCTCAACTCAATACCTTTTTTTCCCTATAAATCATATTTACAGGTTGAATTAGCCATTGTTCTTTCTTCGCACGTATACTATCAATTTTTAACTACTATCGCCGGCAACAATAAGTGTTACTCGATCGTTAGCGAAAGCTGAAACACGAACAACATTCTAGTTGCAACCTCGTTCTAATTTTCTTTTTCGTCTAACGAGTCATACTTGGTGGCTCGAATTTATCCATTGTTGTTTCTTTCTAATATGTAACGCATTGCGTTCTAGTTACCGTTAGATGTTTCTCAATCATGCTAATATTAGATAGAATAAGAGGAATTTTTTTTAAATTTTTATTTCACGAGTTTTTTATTTAATTATCGTTAAGTTTTGATATTTTTATAAGTACATTGTCATTTTCTGACTATTCTAGCGTCAAGTATTCCTCGATTAGAACAAAAACTAAGACGTAGAACATTCCAGCATCAACCTTGGACAAATCCT